AAGTATCTACATCCCCTTTTTTAAAAATAATTTCACAATTTTTAGCCGACTCTTCTTCGTTATTGCCGCAGCACCCCTGGCAAAAGTACACGGCACACCCGGGGTGCCGAGGCGCCAAGTTTGAGAGCCGCTGCTGCGTTAACGCATCTTTCGCCCCACATGATGACGTCAGCAGCACGGCCCGTCAACCAGAGCCGGTCATGTCAGCCAGAGCCGGTCGTGCGTTGACCATGCAGCAAATGAACTTTTGAGAGAAGACCTCGGGTTTTCGATCGGGTCGTGGGCTTCAGCTAGTTCGCTAACACGGCCGGGCTCCAGCTTTATTATTCTGGAGAAGGCGGTGTTTGCTAACGTGTCACTTTAACAAGCACTGGTCGCTTTCGCTGACACAGATAATTGTCTGCGTATTGAACCTTCATTCTTGGATAGATTTGATTTGATGTGATTCAAGAACCGTCATCACAGCACTAGGGGCATTCCCATAAGCGCTCCGTCCCCATCTTCAGCAGCCAGCTGAGAGTTCCGATACTAATGGGGCCAGTTGCATTCTGATTAAACGTCCGTCTTGCCTTTCCTCTGTGCCTCGAGCATCTGTGATAGATTTCAGACAGTCTAACACCGTCTGCCTCTTTCCCTTCCCCCATTACACAAAACAGCAAAACACCCTGTTGCTCTCCCACAGTGCATGTTAACATTATTTCACTAACATCAGGAGTGCCCCAGCCAGTGATTGCTGTCTCGTGGTATTTCTGGTTTGACCGCGCGCTTGTTGCGCGACAATCAATACCATCTAGGTGTCATCCAGGTCGCCTTACCGTTAGCCACATATCGGACACCGTAATCGATAAAGTGAATCACCGACAGGTGTTGTTGTTGCTTTGTTATTACGTCTCTCCTTTCTCCTCTGACTTTCTCGGCTTCACTGGGTTTCTGCTTTCAGTTTTGTTTGACTTTCCCTATGCTACACCTGACGGCCTGACCTAAGCATACGAAAGAGAATGCAGAGAGAAGAAGAAGAAGAAGAAGAAGAAGAAGAAGAAGAAGAAGAAGAAGAAGAAGAAGAAGAAGAAGAAGAAGAAGAAGAAGAAGAGGAAGAAGAAAGAAGAAGAAGAAGGAAGAAGAAGAAGAGGAGGAGGAAGATACGTTCAGACACACAAAGGTGGGCTCATATTCTGTATTCCAGTCAGCACTGTGTGGATGATGTTGTCAACATCACAGCGACCATCTTTATTTCTCAGGATACTTTCAATAACTTCTTCGAGGCTTGGTAAGAGCCAGTGTTTCTCAACAGAAAAAGACAGTCGCCATTTTTTGGTCACCGCCGTTAAAACCAGTAATCTCGACACAAGATTTCTCTTCTCGACGTGTGCCTGCTCGCGTGACACACAACCTGGCGCCCACGCACACATACTCTCTCTATCTCTCTCTCTCTCTCACACACACACTGATACACACACATACGCACCCACATATACGCGCATGCACACACAATTACGCCTTATACACTCACACATACAACACACGTTTCTGGGCAGCAGTTTCATAGACCGCAGAAAATTTGCGCAGATCTTCTTTCGTATTTTTTTAATTCTCTTTCATTTGTTTAAAAAAAAAAAAAACTGCTTACAGCAGCGGCTCTTAGACTGGGTGCCGCGGTGTCTGTTTGAGATTAGCAAAGACAGAAGTCTAAAACAGAAATACCATAAACAAAGCCAAGAAGAGTTCTGGATGCAGGTGTATTCAGAAAACAACGATATTGGCAAGGCATTCTCAACGTACACTTATATTAAAAAAAAAAAAAAAAAAAAAAAAAAGACGGAACGGGAGCAATCATCAACTGAATTAACTAAACTTCCCATAAATAAAAGACAACTGAACATTAAATCTGCAGTTTTTTGTTGTTGTAAGTATTCAAACCGCTCTAAAAGTAGGTATGTCATGTTTTTTTCTCTCCTGACACGAGTGCCACAGCAAATACAGTTTGAGAAACGCTGATTTACAGCATAAGCATCTCCGTTCGATTATTGAAGGAGAAATACGACCACAAAATATAAATGAGTCTTCAGCTACTAAACGCCATACTATGGGAGGGTGGACACGAGTTAAACTTTCGCCGGGCACATGAATACTGAATTGAAAAGACAAGACTCGCGAGGGCAGATGGATCAGTAATGTCTGGATGTTATGTTAATGATAGAAGTAAAGGGAGTGAAGAAATGAGAGAAATGTCTGGATGTTATGTTAATGATAGAAGTAAAGGGAGTGAAGAAATGAGAGAAATGTCTGGATGTTATGTTAATGATAGAAGTAAAGGGAGTGAAGAAATGAGAGAAATGTCTGGATATTATGTTAATGATAGAAGTAAAGGAGGTGAAGAAATAAGAGAAATGTCTGTATGTTATGTTAATGATAGAAGTAAAGGGAGTGAAGAAATGAGAGAAATGTCTGGATGTTATGTTAATGATAGAAGTAAAGGGAGTGAAGAAATGAGAGAAATGTCTGGATGTTATGTTAATGATAGAAGTAAAGGGAGTGAAGAAATGAGAGAAATGTCTGTATGTTATGTTAATGATAGAAGTAAAGGGAGTGAAGAAATGAGAGAAATGTCTGGATGTTATGTTAATGATAGAAGTAAAGGAGGTGAAGAAATGAGAGAAATGTCTGGATATTATGTTAATCATAGAAGTAAAGGAGGTGAAGAAATAAGAGAAATGTCTGGATGTTATGTTAATCATAGAAGTAAAGGGAGTGAAGAAATGAGAGAAATGTCTGGATGTTATGTTAATGATAGAAGTAAAGGGAGTGAAGAAATGAGAGAAATGTCTGGATGTTATGTTAATGATAGAAGTAAAGGGAGTGAAGAAATGAGAGAAATGTTTGGATGTTATGTTAATGATAGAAGTAAAGGAAGTGAAGAAATGAGAGAAATGTCTGGATGTTATGTTAATGATAGAAGTAAAGAAGGCAAAGAAATAAGAGGAATGTCTGGATGTTATGTTAATAATAGAAGTAAAGGAGGCGAAGAAATAAGAGAAATGTCTGGATGTTATGTTAATGATAGAAGTAAAGGAGGTGAAGAAATAAGAGAAATGTCTGGATGTTATGTTAATGATAGAAGTAAAGGAAGGGAAGAAAAAAGAGAAATGTCTGGATGTTATGTTAATGATAGAAGTAAAGGATGTAAAGAAATAAGAGAAATGTCTGGATGTTATGTTAATGATAGAAGTAAAGGAGGGGAAGAAATAAGAGAAATGTCTGGGCCACCACTAGTATAAACAGTTATAAGACAGAAAAGATAGTGCTACATTAGACACATCCTGAGAAAAAAAAAACAGCATGGAATCACCATACAGGCATTAAAATAGGAAATAAAGGGATTAAGGAGATGAGGACGCTAAAAGAAGCCATAAGACAAACGTTGACGAGAGAGACCAAAGCTGCTAGACTGGATTCCATCCATAATATTGAACTGAATTCACAGGGTATAATGGATGAGAGGATTAGAATGCAAGACCTATGTAATGAAAGTTAATAACATGATATATTTCCACTACCCCCCCCCCCCCCCCCCCCCCCCCCCCCCCACCCCCTTTTTTTCAACAACAACACACAAAAAACACACACAAATAACATAATCAAATAAATTTTGAATTTTAAGTCTTTTTACTGTTGTTAAAAGAGGTTCATAGTTGACAATGTGTTGAGTGAGAGACAGTACTGCAAACTTCGTCATTTGTGATAAGGTCTGTGTAAAATATACCAAGTATCTTTTGATAAGATTACATTTCCATTGCTTGTATTTTCCTTTCAAGTTCAGATGTTGATGTTTAATTTTCACAGCCATAAATAAAGAAGCTGATAGCTAGGGCTCTTGACGACAGTATTTATTAGTGTAGTTTGGATATTTTCTCCAGGGTAGGCTGGCATGTTGAGAAATGAAAAAGCTGACAAATTGGCTCATTCTAAACAGCTTGGTTATGAATTGATGCATTGCAAATGGGGGTAAAGACCCCTTGGGAACAGGTAAATTATGGGAAAGAGCAAACAGATCTCCATGATCTAGAAATAAGAATGCAAATGGTAGTGACCAGAGGATCTAGTAGAAACTCAATACCCAGAGGAAGGAGTAATCAAGTTACAGTTGGTGCCATTGGTATTGGAACTGGCACCATGAGTATTGGAACTGGCACCATCAGTATTGGAACTGGCACAATCAGTATTGGAACTGACACCATCAGTATTGGAACTGGCACCATCAGTATTGGAACTGGCACCATCAGTATTGGAACTGGCACCATCAGTATTGGAACTGGCACCATCAGTATTGGAACTGGCACCATCAGTATTGGAACTGGCACCATCAGTATTGGAACTGGCACCATCAGTATTGGAACTGGCACCATCAGTACTGGAACTGGCACCATCAGTACTGGAACTGGCACCATCAGTATTGGAACTGGCACCATCAGTATTGGAACTGGTACCATCAGTATTGGAACTGGCACCATCAGTATTGGAACTGGCACCATCAGTATTGGAACTGGCACCATCAGTATTGGAACTGGCACCATCAGTATTGGAACTGGCACCATCAGTAATTTCTATTGATGGAGCATTTGTGAGAATATCTGAAGTTATGTGATGTTGGTTCCTAAGGTCCCTGTGTGAATTCCAGGGCCCTATTGTGAGAGTGAGGGGGGGAGAAAAGACCCACTGCCCCCAGTAAGTATGTGATAAGAGATGACTATGGGTGTTTTCTTTGTCGGAATGCATCTGCCTGAGAGGTGAGGAACCAGTAGTGAGCATACAGATAAGCAAGATCTTAAAACAAATGTGCACGCAAAACTAAATTTCTAGAACAAAACTAAAGTCAAAAGTGGACAAACAACCAAAACTTTCTGCGAAAGTTTACAGCTGGTGAATGCTAAAAAGAAGCGGGTCTTAACTCTAAACATGTCTTAACCTCAACCCTGTTTATTTGTCTGTGATGTGTCTTACAGATACACCATCGAGGTGACGCATGGGGAGTACCACTGGTCCATCTACAGAAGATATAAGCATTTCAGGCAACTGCATGATTCGCTGGCAATATTCCGTGCCAAATACAGTCTTCCACTGCCCAACAAGGAGTAAGTTGTTGCTTGTTAATTGTTTGTTTATTACAAAATAATGTTAATTGTATTTAACCTCCGAGGTAAACTTCATTTTATTTTATTGTCCATGCAGTGTGGCATTTGTGTTCTATGGGGTCTATAAACGTCTTCTGCCGTGTGTATTTTCAATAATTTCTGACACAGAGGATCTTCCTAGGTGGCATGTAAAACTGTCTAGCATTTTACTCTCTATCTTCCTCTGCTTCTCTTCTCGTCTGACTTTGCCACTGTCACAGTTTACTCCAGTGTCCTCCATCTCATGACATAACCCAGGAATGTAGGTTGTTTCCTTCGGAGGCAGGTAATTTCTCTTCAGGAGTTACATTCTTTCAAGACATCTTTATTGGAAACCAGTTTAGCCATTATCTTTATGCTCTGAAGGTTGTAGGTTTAGGTTATGTCCTCTGCATCACAAGTAAAGAATTAGCAACTAACTTTAAGTAGGCAGGTAAACAGTCATGCAGTATGACAGACTGAGCTAAGACAATGCACAGTGAAGTTGATCAGCTTGTTTTTGAAGTCTTGTTAAATTTTCTTGAAGCTGCTATGTTACTGGGGCTCAGAGAAGAAAACAATTTGTTCTGCACTCATATTACAAAAACCTCGGCAATAATTAAGCAGTTAGGCCAAACTTAGGCTCTGGAGATGCAGTGTATTACATGAAAACAAAATCAGTCAGACACAGATTCTCCAGAGGCTGAAAGATGAAAGAGAGTTGAAATAAAATAACACAGGGATGTATTTTAGTATCATGTTTCTGTCTGTAGATCTAATTGCAGGGTCGGATATATCTCTGAGACTTTTCACATTTGCAGTTAGCAGAAGTTATGAAGCTTCAGAAGATGCAAAAACCATAGTGAGACAGTTCACATCTAACATGATGTATCGCTGTGAGTCAACAGGAATAAAACACTGCTGCAGTTCTAAGTGACTGCAGTAATTTCTCATACAGAGAGACATGTCTCAGCATTCGGGCTTTAGACACACCCTCAGTTAAGTAATCAGTCCTGTTAAGTTTCATTTGTATCAGGTTTCTTTTTGTAGTCAGATTGTGTTTTATTGTACAAGCAAATTGTGCTAGATTGTACAAGCAGATTGTGCAAGATTGTACAAGTAGATTGTGCTAGATTGTACAAGTAGATTGTGCTAGATTGTACAAGTAGATTGTACATAATTTCAGCCATATTAAAATATATGACACTTAAATAAACAATGCTGAGGGAAAACATTGAAGAAGGCATGCAAGAGATGGACAGTAATACAAATGGAAAGAAGTACTAAAGAATTGATACAGTGTAATCTGCTAGAAAATTATGCAGAAGTAGCAGAAATATGGTTTCATAGATGAATAATGAAAACATCTAGGACAGGTCAAAAGAATAATGAAGATGTGAAAGAAACTGATTTACAAAAAGAAGGAGGCAGACTACATTCTTTGATCATGTTGTGAGAAGGTTAAATAAAACTAGATTACATCGTGATGGTGGAAAAGTTAGAGGGGAAAAGAGGCCAAGGAAGACTGAGAGAGAAGATGCTGGACTGTTTGACATCATAGCATGGAGGATCATCAGTGTCAGAATTGATTGAAAATACATAAGACATAAGGTTGTGAATAGATATGACTACCAGTGCTGCTCTGCTTGGACTAAAATAGAAGAAGAAAAAGACAGTGAACAGAATATTCAACTATAGGAAGAAGAATGCAGGAGAAAGGATATTTGACTAAAAGAAGAAGAAGAAGAAGAAGACACGAGACAGGATATTGGACTGAAAGAAGAAGAAGGCAGGAGACAGGATATTGGACTAAAGGAAGCAGATAGGAGACATGATATTATACTATAAGAAGAAGTATAAGGAGACAGGATATTGGACTGTCAGAAGAAGAAGACAGGAGAAAAGACATTAGACTCTATGAAGAAGAAAACAGGATATTGGATTATAAGAAGAGGAAGACAGGAGAAATGATATTGGACTATAAAAAGAAGAAGACAGGAGAGAGGATATTGGACTATAAGAAGAAAAGGATAGAAGACAGGATATTGGACTAAAAGAGGAAGGAGACAGGATACTGGAGTATAAGAAGACAGGAGACATGATATTGGACTATAAGAAGAAAGGAGATAGGAGACAGGATATTGGACTATAAGAAGAAGAAGAAGACAGGAAAGAGGATATTGGTCTATTGGAAGAAGAAGAAAGGATATTGGAGTATAAGAAGACAGGAGACAGGATACTGGAGCATTAGAAGAAAGGAGACAGGATAATGGACTATAAGAAGAAGACAGGAGAGAGGATATTGGACTATACGAAGAAGAAAACAGGAGACAGAATATTGGACTATAAGAAGAAAGGAGATAGGATATTGGACTATAAGAAGAAGAAGAAGACAGGAGAGAGGATATTGGACTATAAAAAGAAGAAGACAGGAGACAGGATATTGGACTATAAGAAGGAGACAGGATATTGGACTATAAGAAGACAGGAGACAGGATATTGAACTATAAGAAGAAGAAGACTAGAGACAGGATATTGGACTATAAGAAGAAGAAGAAGAAGACTAGAGACAGGATATTGGACTATAAGAAGAAGAAGAAGAAGACTAGAAACAGGATATTGGACTATAAGAAGAAAGGAGACAGGATATTGGACTATAAGAAGAAGAAGAAGAAGACTAGAGACAGGATATTGGACTTTAGGAAGAAGAAGAAGAAGACTAGAGACAGGATATTGGACTATAACAAGAAAGGAGACAGGAGACAGGATATTGGACTGTAAAAAGAAGAAGAAGAAGACAGGAGAGAGGATATTGGACTATAAAAAGAAGAAAACAGGAGACATGATATTGGACTGTAAAAAGGAGACAGGATATTGGACTATAAGAAGTAGACAGGAGATGTGATATTGGACCTTAAGAAGAAGAAGACAGGATATTGGACTATAAGAAGGAGACAGGATATTGGACTCTAAGAAGCAGATGACAGGAGACAGAATACTGGACTATAAGAAGAAGAAGAGTAGACAGAATATTGGACCCTCCAAGAAAGAAAAAGAATATGTTAGAGTATACACACATGGCATGAGAGATATAATTCAAAATCCTTTGTATGCAACCTTCATTGTGCAAATGACACCTCATTAATTTATCATTTAGAATGCTGTTATTACAAAAATATATATGGATTATTATATTTTTAAAATATCCTTATTGATGCAGGAGATAAGATTTACCTCTGCATTAGATACCAGTCTAAACATATTTAGCCTTAACAGATCACATGGTTTAAATAAATCTAAACAGATTTAGTTTTGACTGGTTCTGTGTTCAGATACAATAGAGTTAATTTCCTGACTGGCAGACTGAAGCTAGAAAAGCTTTATATCCTTTTGGCGGTTTATCATGGCCTACAGCTCTGCTGGAAGCTTTTCAGAAATTGTAAAGAATTCAATGACAGTCTTTTCCGGAGCTTAATAATGTCTGTTCACAGTTCTTTCTTTGTCAGTTTTACAATGACCTTTATATTTTAACCATCCAGTTCATACAGATGACTGTGACATAGTCTGAACACAATATTCTCTCAATCAGTTTAGCTCCTGTTTCAGTTACTTGTCTTGAACTCCTTTGAGGCAAAAAATCAGGGTGTCCCATACGTTTCCAAACATGGGAAAAATAAATACTTTTTTTTTAATGAAAACTATTTTTATTTTTATAAAACTAGTCAACAAATTTTGAAATATTTTTTTGCTGTTCAAGCTCTCCTGGCTTGGTTCTTGAGGTCAACTAAGGTGTCACTCTTTTGTCACAGTCCAATCATTAGTCAGTAAGCATTGAAGGGCTCTAATTAATTCGATACCACGTCTCAATAGATGCAACGTCCTAGTAAAATCATACACTATGCTCGTCACTGACACCTCCGCAGTTTGACATAAAAAAATCCAGATGGGAATCCAGAAAATGAATTTTCAAAGACATGTTGCAGCCAAGACTTTTATACTTCAGAAGAAGAACTCTTCAATCTCGTTGTAATTGTCGGATGTTATTTTTCCTAAAAAATTATCCACTACTGGCTTAAACCTAACAGTGCTGCCTTTTCCTTGCCATACAGTAAGCAACAAAGCTTGTCATCATGAAGTTGTTTTCGAATTTGTGGACTAGCAAAACTACCTCACTTATTTTAGCTTCATTCAGTCTTGGGAGTTTCCTTCAAAGTCAGAGTGCATCTGCCTGAGAGGCAAGGAACCAACTGTCTGCATACAAATTAGTCAGATCTGTCAAACGGACGCACACACAACATTCAAGTTCTGAAAAAGGACTGCGGTCCAGAAGTGGATGAACAACTAGAACTTTCCGCCTGAGTTAACAGCTGGTGAATACGAAGAAGTCTTCGACATTTTCAGATAATGCGGACACAAACAATACGTTGCATAATTTATTGCCTGCCATATTTTGCTCTATCCTAAGGTGCATTACTACAGAGTTAAATCAACATACAGTAAAGCACAAAATGAATCCTATTCATGCTGAAATGCATAAACCACTTTGTCGAGTTGCTCAGCATCTATCCGCAAGAAATTCAAAATCAGCCATGTGATTACCACAGTAACTTGATTTAACTCTGTAATAATGCACCTGACGAGATACAGGCAATAAATTGTGCAAAGTATTTATTGTGTCTGCATTATTTAAATTCACAATAGGAAAACACTGTTTTGAATTTTCTAATAAGGCATTTGAAAGCCTCAACTGTTTTTTCATTGCCTTTTATTCCTGTATACAGAAATTCTGACATCTTCTGCTAGGAAATTCCACTGTTGCAATCTGGAATCCAAAAGCTCTGCTTTGTTCTTTGATAAATTCAGATCTCTTACAAGATCATTCAGTTAACTTTGAAAAGATCAGACATTTAAACAAAAAGACGATGTATAATAGGTAGGATTGCATCATCAACTACTTATTACATTTTTATTGGTTGTTGGGGTGGGGGGTGGGGGGGGGGGGGGGGGGGGAAGGTGTTAGGCAATTACTCACAACAGTTGTGTCAAATATATATATACATATCCGAGGCACTTTGTCCAAACATGAATGTAGAAGAATCAAAATTTGCTGAGTATTCTAATTAAAAATTTTTTTCGTATTCAACAACCTATTTTTTGTTTAATTAACTAATGAAGGATTTTTAACAGTTTTTGCAGTTTTTGTTTTGTAATTTTATCTCTTTTCTGTACTATTTCTTCCATAGCTACCACCAAAGAAGGGCAACCATCAAGAAAGATCTTAAAGGAATGAAAGAAAGGCAGCAGCACCACAAAGCAGTCAGACTTCCTCTCAGACCTGAGGCACTTGTTAGTGAGGACAAAATTCCACAGAGAATGGTAAGCATTTGACAACAGATATTGTTATTTTCTGCTAATGGATGAATGATGAATTGACCTCACTAAATTGTGGACATTTGCACACATGCTTTGTCAATTTTCTCAGTCACAATGAAGAGTTCCAACACTGAAGGTTTCAATTGTGACTTGATAATAAACCCTCCTGTCTTTTCTCCTGCACATTGAACGTCATCCAGATCCTCTACTTACTCCCAACAGAATCAGTCTCTCTAAACCTAGGTACTTTATCTGTTCTGTTGACTGTGTAACTGCAGATGTGAATGTTGTCAAATCTGATAGTTGCTTTTTATTTTTTAAGTCTGATGTCCTTTACATATAATCTAATTTCTTGAAGGCATATAGTTAGCTTTCGTGTTGCACACCACTGTCTGCTTTTTTTGTAGTCTTATTCTACTTCTCCTTTTTTCTACTAGAATGCCTCGTGGCGTCAGGGCAGGGAGAGATCTCTGGAACAGGCCCTTCTGTTCACTTTGTATAAAGTACTTTTTAGTATCTCTTATATTTCTGTGGTCCATCTTCTGCGTGGCCCACCTCTGGATCTGTTACTGTTGTATCTGTATAACATTGCTGTCTGTTGCACCCTGTCTGATGCTAATTTTGTTACATGGCCGTACCATTTGATTTGTTGTCTACTTGTAAAGTTCAGTGCTGGTTCTATGCAGACTCTCCTCCTGATATCATAATTTCTAAGTCGATCTTTCCTCGTTGCGCCTAGCATAGTATGTGAACATTTCATTTCTGTTGTGACTACTTTTCTTCTGTCTTCTGAAGACAGCATCCATGTTTGACATTGGCAGCATAGCGTTCTTACAGTCTTAGCACACAGAAATATCTGTCTAAAATTCTATATATTTTTAGTCAGCATCTGCTGCTATTGTAAAACTTAAAAATCTATGGCTTCTATAGTGCCACTGCTATTGTAAAACTCAAAAAAAATTAATTACAACTCCCCATGTGGGTTCCATGGACCCTATTGTGGGGAAATAGATAGACCCACTGCCTCCCTAACAAGCACATTGTAAGAATTAACTAATTAGAGGAACCAACAGTCTCTATACAAATAATCCAGAGTTGTAAAACATATGTGTATGCAAAATTCAAGTTTGGGAACAAAACTAAAAGTCTAGAAGTGGATGAACAATGAGAACTTTACAGACGGTGAGCACGGAGAAGAAGAAAGATTAATTACAACATATTCATCAATTTTATTTTGAATTCTAGAATGGAAAACATAATCTCCCGACTTTTGTTTTGTATGTTTCTCTCAAACTACTTTGTTTCATTGCAGTTGTGTGTTTGTCATTTCAGCAACAACTTCAAGAGTATCTTCAGAATCTCATGACCTGCAAGTCCTACAGGAACCATCCAGAAACTGTAAGAATCAATTTTATAGTGCTGCTCTATGTTGAACCAAATACCACTGTTTTTCAGCCTTAAATGGGTACTAGGTAAAGTCACCCAACAGGTGCCGATTGGTTTGTAAAATGTTGGTCTAGCCCTATACGCCCAGTACGCCTGAAGATGTGGAAAAGTGTCTCTTTACTTATTATTTGTTGAATGTTTGCTTGTTATGTGTTGAACATTTTGCTGGCAGCTCACTGGTTATGAAGTCTATTCCGCATCAAAGCATGGATTTTTAAAATAAAGTTGCTGCTGGGTTGATTCAGCCAGAATTGGATGTTATGACATGTTCTTGGAAGAAAATGCAGATGATATGATTTTGACCGTGACACACACCAAGTGGCAGTGGCAAATAAGGATAACAGTGTGTACGCTTTTAGAATAGGAAATCCATTTGTGGGTTTCGCTTCCCCAGTTGGAAAAAAAAAAGGGGGGGGGGGGGGGGGGGGGGGGGGGGGGAGAGACATGATTTCTTAACAAGCATGTAAAAAAAATAAAAATGACTTATTAGTGGTGTTTCCATTAAAGTTGTAGTGCATCTGTCTGAAAATTCAGGAACCAAGTTTGCATACAGTTAAGCCAGATCTGTAAAATGGGTGTGCAAAACTCCAGTTCTAAAAAAGACCAAAGTCCGGAAGTGGATGAACAGCCAGAACTTTCCACCAGAGTTTACAGCCAGTTAAAACTAATGAGAAGTAGAAGAATAAGAAGGAGAAGTAACCAGAAAAAAAAAGGAGTTTTACAAGTTTTACTGATGAGTGTGATTTTCTTGCAAGGCCCTTGCTACCTGAGGATAATTATCACTTTATGTACAAACACATGACTACTACTACTTCCTTCAGCTGGCTTGAGAACCAGCTGTATATACATGTGATTGTCACAGACTCACAAAATGTGCTGAGAAAGGTGAGGTCAGGTATGCTTCCTACAGAACGGCAGGTATCACTTGAGAGATCCTGGGTAGCTCATATCTTTTGAATATTTAATCCAGGGCATTCAGGTGTATTGGGAAATAAACAAGCAGACAGATTAACTGGTTCTTCACCATTTATTGGTCAATTGATGCATGACCAGCTAGATGTGGTCAGGTCCCTGTGGGTGCGAGTGATCAGTGCAGAAGCACAAATCATCACTCCAGGGAATAGACAAGACAGTCATACGATCATACTGCTGTATGTACCGGTGAAATTAGAACTGTGCAGTGGCTGTTTAAGATGATGATCGGGCACGTGAAAATGTCTTGAGTGCTATGATGTTGGTTCTTAACTCACTTCAAGTCAGCCTCACCAGAACTAGGCTGCAGCCAAGTGATCTAGTCAGTGTAGTACAGATGCTGCCTGTTTTTGTGTGTACTTATGTCAAATCCACCAGACCATGTAGTAAGTATTTTAAATAACGATATCCTGTTCAACTCATTAGGGTTATATTTGGATTAATAAGACTACAGTCTGTGGTAGAAAGAAAGTAATGCCGACATAAATTAGTAAGTTACAACCCTGTGAGCTCTTTTCACCACCACCCCCCCCCCCCTTTTTTTACACCAACTCGCACATATATGCACACACACAACATAAACTCATACACACACAGACAGAGACAGACAAATAGAAAGAGAGAGAGTACTAAAATTGTCTATATCTGCTGAAAAGTATCTTTGCACAGTAAACCCAAAGCTGAAAGAAAAGTAACAGAGAAACAAACAGTTGTAAAATGGACTAATTGTAGCATTGAATCAGCTGATTTTGTTTTCTCCCCCCCAAAAAAACAGTTGAAGTTTTTTGAGGTCAGCCATGTGTCATTTGTTAGCAAGACGGGAAAAAAGTCTAAGGAAGGGCTAGTAAAGAAATGCTCAGGAGGGCGTAGAATCAGCATTCAGTGTTGTGGCTGTCTTCAGAACTTACATTTCGCTGGCACCTGGAATAAAAGGTAAATATAATGTCAAATACTGTGTTGAAATAGGTTAGTATTAATTCCTTCAGTCGCAAACAACGCATGATATCAAAAAATATTTTGCATGTTTTAAATTTGAACAAAGAAGACATAAACAATTGGTTGCACAATTTATTTCATGGCACATTTCGCTGTATCTTGTCAGGTGCATACTACAGTAACAAATACAAAACAAAAAGACATGATTCTGACATTGCGGCTGCCCTGGTAAAACAAGCAGTTGCATTTGACTATTGTTGAATTTGTACTTCAGTTATAAAGGATTCACTTATTTACTTCATTTATTTAATTGTTGCTGTAGTATGTACTTTAATATGCCAGGCAATAAATTGTGCAACCTATTGTTTGTGTCTTCTTTGTTCAAACTCATGATATTTTGTCTGGTGTTTCCAAAAATAGTAATAATACAACATAAAGTAATTTTATGTTCTTGCTGTCATATATCACAGATATTATATTTACCCTTTGTATCTGAATCCCTCATCATCATCCTGTGACACTGTGTGTCATTGGGTCACCAGTTGCTGTTGAACTGTCTGATCAGCTCTCTCCAGCTGTGCGGTCAGATGCGATGGATTCATGGTTGCATGTTTAAGACCTGTCCAGTCAGTCAAGTTCTACATCCAGGTCTTTCTTGGTCTGCCTTTTCTCCTGTTTCCCTCCACTGCACACTGTAGTATTGGTTTTTAGAGGCCATTATATCTTACTACATGTATCTGAATTATTGGTTTCAGTACTTCCATTAACTAGTGTCTGTTAAACTTTTTCATACTTAAATAGTGCTTGATTTTAAGCTCAGTTCATTAGGGTTTAAGGGAGCGACTGTGGTATAGCGGCTAGATGTTCACCTGCAGACCTTCATCTGGAAAAATGGAAAGATGCCAGCAAAAATACGAAAGCAAAAATATGCCTGAGTTGGTTGTGCAGTGTCATGTAAAGGATATGCAATCAACTTTTAAAAATTTGTATAACACCATTTCTGTTTGTTTACAGTTACAATTTTTTTTCTAATAGATGGCTTGTTATCAAAGACAGCTGCATTCTATACATCCGTCCCGAAGATGGACACATCAGTGATGTGTTATTGATGGATTCAGCTTTTTCTGTCAAGAGTGGTTTGTCTAACACCGGTGCTAAACATGGATGTCTTATTGAAAACCTGAGCAGGTGAGCATTCTAAGTTCATTTCACTTTAAAAAAGAAATATAACTAAAGGGGGTTCCCAATAAAGTACAAATGGCAGATGACTAAGTGAACATTGCTCAAGAAAGCCTTCTTCACTCTGCAACACAAACAATGATACAGTTATGGATTAGAAAACATAAAATAACTTTAATCGTTGGATGAAGCCTCCATCCATTCTTGAACAATAATTGACAGAATGCATCTGACATGTTCATTGTAAGTAATTCTGAACCAAGTCAATATGTCTAGATACTTGAGTTTTCTAATAACAGCAGATGAAAGATACTCTCAAGAGGTTGAATGTAGTTTAGGAGGGTGACTGTAGTATATCCCCTCAAAAAAGCAGCGTTTTACAGGATAAGGAATAATCTATGAAATTTATAATTGTTAAATTAGACAAGAGCGAAAGGGCGGCCATGAAAAAAAATGGATCAGCATTAAAGACACTTTATGCCTGCATGTCATGACAGTACCAGTGCCAGCCAGCATGCACCGGACCACAAATTGTTCCTCTCCACAACGTTTAACAGCAGAAGTAGTTTATGATGATATGAATTAAGATAAGAAAGAAAGTTCTTAAGAGCTGTGTATAGCCAATCCTTATATACAGAAGTGAATCATGGACAATTGGATCAGTGAAAAATTAAATGCAAAATGAAGAGATATGTTGTAAAAGAAAGATTACAACACAATAGACAGATAACACATGTGATGACATTGTTTTGAAAGAAATGAACTCACAAGAGGGGAACTGAAAACCTGCATCAGAATTATGCAGACCATATTCTTTGAGCACATCCTGAGAAAGTTAAAAAAAACTACAACATCTGTACAACTGGACGGTTGGAGAGAGACACTAAGGGAGATGATGTTAGTTTTGCATCATGGCATGGAAGGTCATATGTATTGGAAATAATTGGTAATGCATGAGATACAAGGCTGTTGACAAGCATGATTACCTGTTCCTGTGGGTTTTGGACCCCTATAAAAAATAGGGGGGGGGGGGGGGGGGGGGTTAAAGAATATACCTATTGCCCTCTGTTAAGTTTGTTGTAAAAGGCAACATATAGGTATTTGTTGAATTCAGATGTACCTGGCTAAAAAGCTGAGATATTGCAGTCTGTTGATTACAAAACGATTGAGGATGAATACGTGAAGAAGAAGAAGAAGAAGAAAATATGGTTACCAACAACACTGGATGGATGACAAAGAATTGTAAGCAACTCTGTGCCATGCCTTATTCACGCTGGAGATGATGTATTCGGAAGTAGATATTAAAAAAAAAAAATCATAATTATCCGATGGCACATTTTATGTTAGTTGACAGGAGCGCCCTAACGCCTCAAAACTATCGATGACCCATATGCAACAGAACTTTCCATTAATTGATTGAACTCTATTTTATTCTTATGAGCAATTTGAACAATTTCACTTGTTAAATTACAAAGCCTAAATTATGACAAAATTATGTTCCTTTCAGTAGCAATGAGTTTGTGTGTGTGTGTGTGTGTGTGTGTGTGTGTGTGCGTGCGCGAGCAAAAAAGAGAGAGAGAATAGTATACATTGAGGTATGTGACTAAGAGTTTATTCTTCTGCTTGTCATCTCTCAAAGAAGAGTAGACTGTAGGAGGAGATCACTGCAGGTCATTTATAAACATTCGTTTTGAAATGAGGTAGCTGGTCTTGTGTCTAGCCCCTCTGGTTGTCTTGGTCAGGATTGTGGTTTTATCATACCAAGTCTTCATAGACTAAATCAAACAGTGAGTAATATAATTTATAGTAGAAAATTATAGAGAATGTTGTGGGAATCACTTGCCCACTGTAGAGGATTTGTACAGTATGACAATGAAGGTTCTTCCATCCAGTCAGTCACATCATCTTCAGTGGCCAAGTATTAAATGTTAAAATAATGGTGAATTGCTGAATAAAGATATGGCTTTTGCTAAATGCACTTATTGTGGATTTGAACCTGAAACTGTTGGGCCAGCAGGCAAGTGTCTAACTTCTGTGCTAAACTGGTACCCTTATATATTTTTTTTAGTAATTTTATATTGTTTGTTTCTTTCTGCAGAAAGCTTCTAATTAAGTGCTGGACAAGTCGCAAGGCTAGAGAATGGGCAGAGGAACTGACATCTGTAGCATCAAACCAGGCCAGTGATTATACACGCAAACACAGATTTGGTTCCTTTGCTCCACCTCGTGAGGATTCCTATGCTAGATGGTGAGTTTGATGTCTTAAAGAAGAAAATACTGCATGATGGGAGCATACACAACAGGAGTCTAGTGATCATTAGTAGAGGTCCTCCTTCAATGAATATTTTGGCCCTTTTACATACTTAACACTTTCTGGGCCCAGGCTGACCCATGTCATGACTCCTGGGCTGACACGGCTCCAAAGTTTCCGGACTCTCCTGCTATGCTTGCGAAGTCTTATACACAAAACGAGACATGATTATTGGTAACTGACACTTGCTTATTGATGATTTTCGCAGGATTCTACCAATCGTCAGTAGAAGTAATCTTTCGTCAACAAATGTTTTGGCCCATGAGCTCCTAGACATTTTCAGAGAGTGGGCCCACCTGAGTTCATGAGGCTCAGGGTTGATTTTCTCCTGCTGCAAGTAAAGGAAAGGATATTTTTCATGCCAGTGGCACATTGGGCATATGGTTCTGGATCTCTTTTGAATTTGCTAGTCTTGGAGAATATGTTAGGCTGTTTTCCAGTTATTAATATTTATCATTTTCTTGTATATTTTCAACAGGTTTGTAGATGGCAAATCTTACTTTGAAGCTGTAGCTGATGCTTTAGAAAAAGCCAAAGAAGAGATCTACATTTCCGATTGGTGGTAAGTACTGAATGCTGTATAACTTTAATTTTGACTGTCTTTTATTATCTAGAATGTAGAGATAAAGATGAGTTTAGAGCAGTTAAGTTTATTAAATAAGAAGGTTGAAAATAGCATCAGCCTTAGCATTACATGAAAATATAATATGTAGACTGAGATTCAGAATGTGACAAGTAGCTTATTGCCAGATAACTTTTGATACCTTGTGCAATTAATTGTGTGTCCAGTTATTGATCTGTTGTTACTACTGCTTCCATCAGATTGTTCTGGTACTTTTGATGGGTACCTTATGCATTTAATGTGTATATGTATTAACTGGCTTTGCTGAGGCTGCAGTCAGTCAGTTTTTTTTTTCCACATGGGACAGTGATAGACATTCAGGAGCTTGTATTATCATTGACGCCACCGCATAACATAATTGTTATATCTTTCAAATAGATTATTCTGTTTTCTTGTCATTGATTGTTTATTGATTAAGGAATCAACATCATAAGACAGTGACAGAGCAATCCTATAGATGCTCAGTCTCCTGCCACTAGTGTCTTAAGAAGTAAATGCTAACCATTCCTGTCATTCTCTCCCTCACATACATCCCTCCTTGCTAGATCCACACTTAATTCCTCATTCACACATTCTTCCGCACAATATTTCATTTGACCATGTCTTCTATCAGCATTCGTTCATAAATGGTCTTCAGAATCTTGCCCTTATCCATTTCGAGTGTTCCCATAACTATTGCTTTTGTAGCTAGAAAATCCGCTGTTTCATTTCCTCGCATTTCTGCTTGTCCCAGTCAATAGATCTGTGTGAGTCCCTATAGTGTTTTCTTGCTGATGCTCGGTATCCATCATCATCGCTCTCATCACAGTCTGCCTGAAAGAAACCTCGGTCTCTCGCCAGTTCTCCCGCCTCATGCACTTTCACACTCAAGGAGTCACTTATATC